CACCCCCCACCCCCCGTAAGTTCATTCTGAACCATCCTAGATTCCATCTGTGCTGTGTAGTTCAACACAGGGGCTAGGAGCTTGATGGCCAGAAAACCAGGCACCAAGTTTGGCTCCACCATTTAGTAGCTGTGACTGTGGACCAGTTATTTGACCTGGTGGTACCTTGTTGGCACGGCACTGTAAACAGCACTTTCCACTAAGGTTGGGATGCAGGGACGGGGACCAGCAGGGCTCACACACTGGGTGTGATTTAAATGAGAAGTGCTCCCCCCTGTGACCGTGGGAACTAGCTACGTTTTCAACATTAGCTCTAATCCCTTCATCACAGCCAGTCCGTGACAGTGCGACCTCTGGCATGTCTCTGTCTTTAGATTAGAAACAGCCGGCAGGCAAGAACCCCATTTTCCCTTTCTCCATTTCCAGTCTAAAATAGTCCCCGGCCTTCAAATACTTGGCATAAAATTCAGGGGCCCCATGAAGAAAGGAATGGGGAGCAGGTTCTCCTTTTCCAGGCAGACGTCCAGGAGGGATGTGGGCCGCCAGCAGCAAGGAAGTAAGCACTGGCGTCAGCAGGAGAGGGGCAGATTGTTTCTGCAACGCTGTAGCCCTGATGCCTGGACCCCTCAGAAGGCGATAAATGTGTGTTGAATGAGAACAGTGGAGTCATAAATTGGGAGTGTGACCGGTATCAAATTCATCTGAACACCCAAATATAAAAATTATCAAGCACTAACATATGCCACTGAAGCAAATGATGGAGGTGTCACAAGAACCTCCTTTCAATGTGACCAAACTTCTCTACTTAAGGGCTGAAACCTAGGAAGATGTGTTTTTTTACTTGTCAGTTTTCCATGCCCTTCAGAGTTTCAGAGATCTGTCTTGGCAAGAATACAATTTAAAATATGGGAAATCTCTTTGTATGAGATTTTGCAAATTCCACATTTCTCACCCCTTTAATCACATGTCCCCCAAACACAGAATACATGAAACAAGAGCTCAGGACACCATATATTTAGTATGAAAATATTACTTCCTAGAAAATGACAAATAATAGCCTTGTGAAGTGTTCAGAATGCAAGTTTGGGATAATACTATGAAGGAGCTGTGTTTTGCTTAGGTATCTCTTTAAAAATCAAATTGCTAGAAAATAAGTTTTCAAATCGGTAAAGCTTGTTCCCCATTTATTTTTTGTTATGATTCAGAAATACAAGATTTGAAAATTAGATTACAATTCTGCCACAGTGCATCTAAAGTAGCCAACACAAGTTCTGATATATATCAAACTAGCCATGTGCACACTCAGCAATTTAAAAATGTCATTAGAACTGTCATATCAGTCAAAGGTAAAATATAATAGCTATTATCTCCTCTTAAAGTATAAATCTATTGTCACAACACTGAACTAAATCTACACAGCAAGATTCAGTCCAGAAAATGGCAGTCTGTGGTTAGTGGGTGCTTTATACGGCTGAGTTACTAAAACTAAAGGAAGTGAGAGCGATACAAAGCATCGTATGTCAAAAAGCATGAATATTTAAGAGAGTCCTCAATTGAGTAAGACATGTTTAAATTAGAACATGATGTAATAAAATTAAGTCTGTTGATGATATAATTCAATAAAAAAATTATAATGGTATTGCCTTCCTTTAGAAAGACAAAGACATACAATTCTTTGAATTGAAGCAACTATTACCAAAATGCATTTGTCATCTAAATATTAGAAAATCTCTCAACATTCCACTTCCATCAGCACTACATGGTTTCCCAGGTCCAGATTTTTAACCAAACATATACACATATTAGTGGAAAGGAGTCATCATTGATAACATTTTAAATTTCTCTTTTCAGCTATAAAAAGTTAAATAATAATAAAAAAAAAAAAAAAAAAAAAAAACCCCTTGAACTTAAGGAAAAAAAAAAATGAGGATGGTGTTTTTGCCTTTTTAAATGATGACGGAGTCTTGGGCCTATTTTGGAATTTCTATGGCTGAATGACAGTAAACATTTTTAAATAAATAAACAAACTCACAAACATGTAAGAAAACGGTACAACCAAGCCTAGCAGAGGCAGGCACTTCAAGACTGAAACTCACATAAGCTGCTGCTGGTCAACATTTCAACAGAATAATTAAGCTCTTACTGCCACAGTAAGTATTTACCCATTTTTAGCTAGAGTAGAAAGTGCTAGATCAATGAAATCCCTTAAAAAAAAAAAGCCAATATCTGCCCTAATGATCCAAATCAGAGCTTTTTTCCCCCTCTTCCTCTGAGCAGAAAAACAAGTATATATAAAAAAAAGTTGTATAGGAATTGATATAAGATAAAAAATACAATCTGCCTTGTAATAGTTCATGTTTGGGAAGAAGCAAGATCATTCATTACACGAAGCTGCTGAAAGGTCTACAACGCCCCTGTCCAGAACTGTGCAGGACAGATGTGTCTCAGAATTCACCACCTCTGGATTTTTAAAAAGCTAACGAGACCTAAGTTGAATATCACAAAACAGCTGCAGCCTAGGCAATCCTATAACCAAACCTACTGGCCGTTGGCTCTTCAGGTAAAACGGCGCAACTGCCCCTAGAGCAGCATGAAGGAAAACCCTAATGACCTCACATCAGTTCAAGTCAGGTGTTGTGATCCAATGAAAATGGCGCCAAATTAGAGAAAAGAAAAAAACCGCAGTTTTCATTGTTTTGCCGGGTAAGGGACCACAGGGCTGCAACATCCCTGAGGGGCAACTCCATGTGCTCCAGTGGTAAATTACCTGGCGGGGGCAGCACAATCTGAAGATTCCTTGAGAAATGAACATCGAGAAGACGACCGGTAAGAGGCGTAGGAAAGGAGACGCCATCTTGGATTTGTTTTCATCTAGACTAGCAGCAGCGCGCGCCAATATTCAAGCAACACTTCTGAGGAAAGTGTGAGCTTCAGAAACATCTGGATGGTGATGTAACTATTTTTTTGCAATTTAGGGGACTGCAGCCATCACCCCGTGTTGGGGACTGAGACCCCTGTGGCTAGCACATGCCAGCCACAGAACACTAACGATTCAGGAGACCACTGTGGCTCCACCCATAAACTGCCATGAGGTCACTTTAGTATTAAGGAACCGTTTCCTGTCTTTAAGTGTTTAAAATGTGCCACTCTCAGATCTTGATTAAAAAGAGACCAGGGATTTAAAACCACCAGACACCTTCCTTCTTTAAAATGAAGTCATTTTTAAAGTCAAGAGGTTCAAAGCCTCAAGAACAAAACGGGTTAGTATGGGTGTTAGTTCTTCAGTCTTTTGTAGAACTTTTGGGAAACAATAAAAAAGCAGTGTTGTTATTTTTCTCACCAAAGTGAGCTGGAATGTGTCATGTATGGGGCTGTGGCGCCAATCAGGATGATCGTCCTGAGGCCGCGGGGCACAACGGACCAGAAGACAGAGCAGGGGCCAGTGGCTACAGGTCCTTGGAGGCACTTGCTGGGGAAACCCACTCATCGGCCTCACCCCATAGTCTGGAAACATTCATGGGGCCAAGAGGCCTTCCCCAGCTGTGCTGGGGAGGCAGCACCCCAGAATGTCTCGGTAGCTGGCGGAGTCACAGAAAGAACGGCAAGGGAGGGGAGTGGCCATCTCACCTCAAAAAAATGAGTGTCTTCAAAATAGACCTGGTTGCCCCCATTTTTCTCACTGAGTAAAGTTTAAGTAGACGCTACTCAACCTGTCCTAAAAGCTACATATATGCTACCAGAAGGTCACACTTTAAAGTTTTTCATTTGTTTCATTAATTCAGGAATTAATTTAAAAAGTTAAAAAAGCATTCTTCTTCTTCTTTTTTTTTTTTTTTACAAAAATATCATAGCAGATAAGCAAAACTGGAATGGAAGACACAGGGGAATGAAACCGGAGATGCTATCACGGATGCAGGGAGCGTAGTTTATCGTGGCATGGAAGAAATTGTAAACTTGAAGCTTCTAAGATTTTATTTTTCAGAAAACATTTTAGGAGGCTGTCTTTCCCCACGGATGGATGGGAAATAATAAGTGCACTAACATCTGTGTCTGAAGCAGACAAGAAACATTATTCTCTTCACCTACTGGGAAAAATGCCACTCCCCACCTCCACTGCCTGCCTCGCTCATCCCCCTGGTAGTTTCACGGGATCAAAGAGAGAAGGAAGACAGGAGGGCCCACCCGAGCCAGGGACATTATGATGCATTCAGGCTCACTGGCATTGTATAAAATCATCTGGAATAAAATTCAACATGTTAAAAAAAAGAAGCCCAGAAACCCATAAACTGCCTTTCATGGAAGGTTAAAAAAAATTCCTCAAAACCTCCTATGAGTCATAAAGTACATTTCTGCACTTGATCTCTAAGGCGGGGAGTGGGGGGGAATTACAGGAATAAATAGCAAAAATTTAAACGATGACTCTGGAATTCTGTTCTTTACCCTGCTCACAAACCACCATCGCCTCTCCGCCTCAGCGCCAGAGAATCCTACGTTCCCCTAGTCCGTGTTTGCATAGTATTAGTAGTAGTGTCTGGAAATGAGCCTACCCCCACCCTGCTCGCAGCCAGGTCTCCGCAGAGATTGGTCCCGTCTCACGTATTCAAAAGTAACACGCAAGTGCCTGTAGATCAAAAAACTGGGTCCCAGGTAGCAGCAAGCTGTTCAAACTATTTTGAAACAGTCTTTCTCGAAGGAATAAGAATTAGGCAGTTTTGTCTGCAACTTCAGATTTTGCTCTCTGCATCATGCAGCGACGAACTATGCTGTCGAAGCTTCCAAGGTAAAACAGAGCGATGGTTCGGAAGAGGCCCATGGTGACCACCTGCAAGACAGACAGAGAGCTTTGAGCTCAGCAACCAGCAGTGCAGTTCATTTCAAGGGATTTTCGGACAAATCTCCAACAAGCAATTCTGTGGCAAACTGCTGATCAGCTGGCGATAAGTAGAAGGAAAACTGTCACCATAACACTGAGTGGGAGCCTGTCACTCTGTCCCTCACACACAGACACCAGACAGAGGAGGCCAGGGGTCTGTCTGACTCATCAATTCAAATGACACATATGAGATAGGTGTTCTTTTTCTCTCTCATTTTTAGAATGAGAACTTTTTAAGATTTTATTTATTTATGCATACAGAACTGGGGAACAGGTCAGAGATACAGGGGTGATGAGAGGATTCACCAGAGAGAGTAGGGAGCAGAACAGACAGATTAATGAAGTACACTGCTGAGGGGAGCAGGGTGGGTCAGGAGGGGTCTGCCACGCCATGTGGGTCATCCCCAGGGCCAGAGATCAAACTCGCACTGAAGCGGTCACCGCCAGCTTCACAGTGCTGCGCTCCAACCTGCTGCGCCACCACGAAGGGCTGAATTTTTTTTTTCTGTGAAAGAACTGGGGTGCAGTTGGCAAGAAAATCCACCAGGGACAGAGTGGGGAGCAGAGCAGGCAGATCTACTAAAATGCACTGCTGAGGGGGGCTGAGGGGGAGACATGAGAGGTCTGCTGCGCCCTGTGGTCAGCTCTGGCCGGGGGCCAGACCCAGGCCACAGTAGTGAAAGCGCTGAGACTCCCCCAGGTCCCCGGGAGGCCCATGAGTCAGGTATCCTATGAGATGGACACTGCAGCAGAGGAGACCTGCTCCGGCATCTCAAGTAGCGAAACATCCGTCAAGGTTCCTGGCTCAAGACGAACGTGACCGACCCTGGGGCCAGTGCGAAGATAGGGACGGTGCCCACTCAGATGGCCCGACTGCGTGACGCCTGGGCTTTACAGCAGTGCAGGCGGCACACTCACTCGGGGGAAACGGAACCTCAGGTTTGGAATGTGTCCGCGACTGGCCCCAGGCAGCTCCCCTCGCGGCTGCTGGGCAGAGGCCGTGGCATACCCGCTGCGCTGCAGGCTGTCCTCACCTGTCGCTCATGTCAATCGATGACATGAAGTCAACACTTCAGTGTAAGATGGGCTTGGGGCCCTCTCTCGGGGCCCAACGGGTCAAAGCGCAGCCCTGTGAAGCCAGCACAGCCACCGCAGCCCGAGTTCGAGCCCCGGCCAGGGAGTGACCCACAGGACGGCAGACCACTCCTGCCCCGCCCCCGCTCCCTCAGCAGCGGGTTTCAGTCCATCTGCCTGTTCTGCTCCCCACTCTGTCTCTGGAGAACCCTCTCAGTCCCCACACCTCTGGCCTGCACCCCAGTTCTGCATGTATAAGTAAATAAATCTTTTTTTAAAAAAAGGGTTTGTGGGAGATACTGCCGCCTGGTGGTGGCACGTTTGAGGGGCCGCGGCTAAGCCGGGGAGCCAGGCAGGTCAGGTGCGCTGCACAGACAGTACCTTCACCCACAGTGGGTGCCCCGGGAGGGAGCCCCCCCACAGTCAAGGAAGATGGGTGCACTGGCACCACGCGGTCCCGCTGTCCCTGAGCCTGTCCATAACTGGGAGGACCATCGGCGGGACAAGGCGACACTTTTCTGGGTGAAGCACGTCCACGCGCTCCCACTGTCCGCGCAAAGGCTCCCTGACCGCCCGCGAGGACCTTCTGAAAGGCATGAAAACTACGAGAAACGTTTCCAAGTGTGCATGATCTAAAAAAATGGGTCTCCCGAGCGCCCTTCCTCCAGGAAGCCGCTATGAGGAGCGCCAGGCAAAAGGAGGGGCCGCCGAGCAGTGCCACGGCCTGGGACCCAGGCGCAGGGCCTCGCTAACGCTGGGCAGAGGCGTCGCCGGCGGGAGCAGCAGGCCGGCCGCACACCAGGCAAGTCGCCGTGACGCCCCGGAGCGCGGCCGGGAGCCGGCACTGGACGGCGAGCAGAGGCGACGGCGGGTGTCCAGAGGGAAGTTCTGATTAGGTGTCTCACGTGGCTCCGCGGAGCGGCAACGCGAGCGCCTAGCATGGAGGCTCAGGTGGCCCTCGGCATGGCACGACAGGGCCAGGGAGGGCGCAAGGGGGGGCAGAGCCGACCCGCACCTTGCACAGGCGCCGTCCGCCGCTGACCGCCCCACCCACCCCTGCTCAGCTCTGCATCGCAGTATGTTCAGGCGGGCGCGGGTCGCTGGACCTTCGTCAAAACCCGCAGGATGGACGACGGCCGCCGAGGTGAGGCCTAACCAAGCACCACCTCGGGGAGAACGGGGTCTCCGCGCCGGCTCAACTGTGACAGCAGGCCAGGAGAAGGCAGGGGGCTTACAAGAACGGGGGTCACACTGCGGTTCCGGTTCGTCTGTAACCCTAAAGCCACTTCAAAAGAAAAACAAAGGAAGGGGGGCCCCAAGAGAAAGCAATTATAATGAAGCACCAACGCAGGGGCAGTCCGAGGCATTAACTCAGCCTCGGCATTTTCTAGATAGCAGCGCCTGCGCTGAGAGCTAAAAGATTAGAAATGGGTCGGGGGACGCGGGGCTGGGAGGCGCCGAGAGAGGCGGGCGGTGGGAGCCTGGGCCGGCTTACCTGCTGGAGCCCCTCGGTGATGGAAGTCACTGGGGCCATCCCACAGGTCAGAGCTGAGAGCATGTACCCGTCTGAGCCAATGGAACTGTTGAAATTTCCTTGCTGAAGAGAAGGAAGAGACGAGAAAGGCAAAGGCAGTGAGGTGGGGTCACGTGAACGCCCCAGCAGCGCAGACGCATTAGAAGGGGCCGTTCAGGTGGTCATGGACGGGGGTGGGGGGG